CAGAGAACCAGATTTACTTTTCCATCAAAGACTTTGAGACCTATGCAAGGGTATCTCTATAGGAAATCTTGTACCTTTGGGGATTATTTGAATCACTTAAAAATAGTCATGCCCCAAATGATTCTAGGAATGGCCACTTGACAGGAGAGTGAATAACCCACAGCAAAGTCTCACCATGCAGACCCACACTGCAGCAAGGGGAAAACATGCTCAACCTCTCAGGTTCTGCATTTCCTTTCAGTTATGAAGAAAGGGGGCATGGTTTTAACCATTAACAAATGCCCTCTTTTGCTTGGAGGAGCCTTAATCAAGACCCAGATAAATAATAATACATCACTAAAAGTGGGGCATAGAATGTATGTCGTTGAACTTCCCAGTCAAGAACAGCCAGGAGCCTTGATGCCATGGTGGAGAGTCACCCCAAAAGTTAGAAGGAGGAAGTAGGAGAGATGAGGGCAAAGCTCTTATGGAATCTCTGGTGTTTCTGAATAAGGAATGAACGGTGGATCATTAGAAAGGACTTGCTCACAAACAGGTTGATCATGAGCCACCACAGGCCTCTCGGCCAACCGCAACGTTTGCAAAATCTTTTCCTATATGGTACAGCACTTCCAAGCTGTTGCTTCCTTTAACTCAGTCTGGAATTTTCAGCAAAGAGCTATGAGATGAACTCCTGGGTTGAGGTTTAATGCAGACCCAAGAGGCAACAAGCAAAGACACCATGTGGCGGGAGGAATGAGTGAAAACACCATGTGGTCTATGCCCTCCAGTGGCCATCTCTTCTGTGTAGCAAGTCAAACAGCAGGCACAAGCTTTCACCATTCCCTTGTTAAAAACCCCAGCATGGACTGTTTCCAACCGGGGACCATCTGCAGGCTGCCTGAGGTAAATGTGAAAAGCTTAAATCATTTTCACTCTTCACCCAAAGCACTCTCAAGTTAGTCACTTTTTAAACAGTCCAATTCTTTAATACAGGAAAATACCTTTAAATGTGGACATTAGGTTCTCCATATATCTTAGAGATTTGATATATAGGCTCAATGAAGCTATAAATATATATGTAGGGCTGGGAAGGTGGCTCAGTGGTAGAGCGCTTGCCTTGCATGCCTGAGGCCCTGGGTTCGATTCCTCAGCACCACATAAGCAAAAATAAAAAAGCCGGAAGTGGCGCTGTGGCTCAAGTGGTAGAGCGCTAGCCTTGAGCTGAAGAGCTGAGGGACAGCGCCCAGGCCCTGAGTTCAGGCCCCACAACCAGAACCCCTCCCCCCAAAATATGTATATTTACATATATATTTGTATTTACAAGTATATACGGCTACATATGGCTCAATTAAAGCTATAAAATATATGGCTCTGTTAATCTATAAAATAAATGAAGAGGGACAAATAATGTCAATGGTGGTGTCTTATTGCCCCCCCTCCCCCCATAGATCCCAATGCCACCACAGGCATAATAAGATGTCATCCCATTGTGCAAAGCATTATTCTATAGGAAAGGTGGAGGAAAATGGCTTTGTCCACAGAGGCTTAGCAACCTCAGTTGTTGCCAGGCTGTCAAAAACTTCTACTTGAACTAAATGCTTATAGGGCAAATTTCTCTTTTGAACTGAAACAATTCCAAAGACTCCTGGGGTCCACAGAGAAGCATTTTGTTTGGAAACCCAGGCAAAAAAGTTTTCATGTTCTTTCCACTTTGTCATCTAATACCTCTGCAACTTAGCAATTCCTGCTATGAAGAGAGCATGCCACAGTAGGAGATGCCATACCAGCAAATGGTGTGCTTGACAAAAACAATTAAGTACAACAGTCAGCAGAATAGTTGCAGAAAAAATATACACACGAAACATATACTTATATGTGTGTGTGTGTGTCTCTCTCTCTATATATATACATTTCTGCTTGTCTCATAAAACTTGCTTATATATATGTGTGTGTGTGTATACATACATGTGCATGCACACACACACATGTCAGAACACATTGAAATGATACTCCTTGAACAAACTACTTGTGCTATAATTTGGATCTTGCAGGTCCTCAAAAGCATGTTTTTGTGGTGATACTGGGGATGGAACTCAGGACCTCTTGCTTGTTAGACAGATGCTCTGCCACTTGAGCCATTCTACCAGCAAAAACACATTCTGAAAGGCATGGTCCCTAGAGTAGAGCTATCAGGAAGTGGTTGAATGATGAAGAGGTGGAGCTTAATGAGAGGTCTTTAGGTCACTGGGGATGTACCCTTAAAGAGGATGTGGAACCTTGACACCCTCCTTATTTTCTTTCACTTCCTTCCATGCAATGAATGATTTTACTTGTCATGTGTTCCTGCCACAGTGTGCTACCTCACCACAAGCCCAAAGGAATCATGGATCCCAAATTTGGGAGCCAAAATAAACATGTTTCTGTATATAAGTTAATTATCCCATGTGAAAGCGACAAAGCAGCCTATGACAACTCCCTCAGAAGTTCTTCCACAGTGCACTTCTATATGCTTGGTAGTCTTCTGTGCTACCAGGGTTATCAGCCCAAGCTCTGAAGTGATATCAGTTCCACGTCTGGCTCCACCATTTCTGGTATCTTCCTCTGTGAAATGGGGATAATAACCTAGCCGTTATAGGGATTAAACATGTTAACAGATGCAAAGCACTTAAAATAATATCCAATGGAGCTGTGACCATGATCATTATTGCAGTTCAAAATTCTTTCCCTTGTACCATCATAGTCAATCCCACAAGCACTCTATTAAACAGGAGTCATAAGTTTATGCATCGTTTACTGGTGAGTTTAATGAGGCACAGTTATGTGCTTTAAAAAGAATTATAAATACTCTAAATAATCCATATTTGAATCCAAGTCTTTAAACATTAAACCTGCGATTCTTTCCCACTACATTGGATTATTTACATGTAAAACAAAGAAAAATAACCATAGTAAAATGTTGACACTAGATGAATTCAGAAAGGAAGAAACAACCAAAGAATATCATGCTATTTATTGTAAAATACCATTCATAAGGTAAGTCTATGATAAGTTATTACAGTAATGAAAGACGATTTTTAGAGTTAGTATACAGCAATTTGGAATACTCATTATTGTGAAATGAGAAGAGGAGGAGAACTCACATATCCTTGTCCTAAATTTTACTTTTTATAAAAACTAGGCAAACTCTCATTTAGTTAAGCACTCTGTCACTTGAACCACATCCCAGTGGTAAATCTCCTTCATGAGAAAAATCAGTGCCTGAAAATCTAAATCTACGTGATATTTGGGTAACTCATTAGGAAAGGAACAAGGAAATGGCTCAAAGATTAAATATGAAGCTTGCCATTTGTTGCTACAGTAATTCACAAGCAAGCAGAGACTTTCTGGTCATAAATATATCGGTAAGATTCAAGTCATGCCTCTTTGGTCTACAAGATTGAAAATCTCATTCCTAGGATTCCTTGTCCACATGCAAGTTTTATGAGACAAGCAGAAGTGTGTTCGATATAAATGAACAACTGGCATGGATTCCTTCTTTCCTAATGAATTCTATAAAGTTAGAACACTTAAATGGATCCCTAGGGGTGTGATTCTTTCATAACTAACACTCTTTCTGGTATTAGCATCTATTCTACTTCATAAAGTTTGTCTGAGTCTTCAAGAACTTGTCATTATTTAATGAGATCAATCTCTTCATTTGCGAGTCCAGTGTTAATTTTTAATATGAATCATACACAAACTTTTCAAATATCCCCTTAAATTGAAAAAAAGAGGCAACCAGGGACTTATATCTGTAATCCTTGTGACTCAGGAAGATGAGATCCAAAGGATCATGATTTAAGACCAGCCCAGGCAGAAAAGTCCATGAAACTCTATCTTTAAAATAATTGGCAAAAAGCAAAGCTAGAGGTATGGTTCAAGTGGCATAGTACTAGCCATAAGCAAATAAGCCAAGCAAGCACATATACCTGAGTTCAAAACCTCAGTACTGGCAAAAAAAATCAAAAAGCATTTTGATAGCCATATTTAAAATTATTTTTCAAGGAAATATGTTAAATGCCATAAATGATCATCTTAAATGAAAAGATACTGGTCCCCCCTTTGTCGGTCAGGGGGCTTGAACTCTAGGCCTGGGCGCTGTCCCTGTGCTCTTCAGCTCAAGGCAAGCTCTCTACCTCGAGCCACAGTGCCATTTCCAGTTTTCTAGTGGTTTATTGGAGATAAGAGTCTCATGGACTTTTCTGCCCGGGCTGGCTTTGAACTGTGATCCTCAGATCTCAGCCTCCAAAGTAGCTAGGATTACAGGTGTGAGCCACCAGTGCCCTGAGATACTGGCACTTAAATCATGCTGGGAATGTGCTCTGTGTTGTCTTTCATTTCTCTCACACCAGGGTTCTATCAAACCCCGTCTAGAGTCCACATGAGAGGCTGGCAGGTGAGACCTTTCTATTTCTCCACTCAGCTCACATGAAAAGATCTACTCATCCACATCAACAGATGTGCATTCTCATTTTAATTCTGAAATTATGTGTAAATACAAGATGAATAAAGTTCTAGACCCCTTGAGCCCAGCCAGATAGAAATACGTCAGTGCTCAGCTATATGTTTTCAAGCCCAGAAAACTTAAATAAATCTCACCAATCAATATTCCTGAGACATAGAATCTTTAAAAAGAAATTATATTTAGGTCAAAAATTGGATTTGACTTTACTTATCACAGTTTATCTTTGCAAGGCAGTGATGCATAAGGCTCTGAGATGTAGGGCTATTGCAGACAGAGGACTGAAAAACATTATGTTAAGCAAATAATAACTGAAAAGTAGAAATCTTGAGTAACCAACTCATCTTCAAAAATAGCCTCTTTTTTCTCCCTTTGTTCCCATCAGTAGTTCTGCACACTAACCCTGTCCTACCTTGAGATGAACAGGATTGTGACAGAAACATTAGGAGAATGTCTCCCAGCCACATGGATCTCTAGTGCCCTGTTTTCTTGGCATCCTACCACATACTGCCCTTACCTGTTTCCCATCCAAGGTGTACAGGCGTTTCACCACTCCCGAATCCAGCTTGATGGCGTCGGTGATATCAGTGAGAACCTGCTCAAAGGAATGAGCTGTCTTCTTGTTCAGCAGAATCCTCACAGCTTTCCGTGGCTTCACCCCACTTCGGATGATGGTGACTAGCTTGGGCCGAATGAAATCCTTGTTCTCTCGCACTTCGGATGGGCTCCCTTTGGCTGTGGCCAGTGAAGATACCGCCCGGGAGGCCGAGGTGGTCTTGACGTTCACGGACCAGTTGGGGTTCACATTCTTGGTATACTCCAGTTTCTTGAAGGGCTCAATGGAGCCGCACACATAGCTCTCTCCTAAAGAAGAGACAATGTAAATTCACACAGATGGAACTTCTTTTTCTTTTTCTTCCTACATTCTCTTGCAGTTATTTTTCTTTTCTTTTTCTGGCTATGATCTAGCTGTGGTTCTTAAAACGATGGAAGATACATTGTACTTATAAACTGATTTGGTAAATGATAGCCCCTTTGTACAACTACTTACAGATAATAAAAATATAATTTTAGGAAAACTGTGGAAGTGTGATTAATAATGAAAATAAAAATAGCTGACTTCTAATTTGGTTCCTGACGTCTTGGGGAGAAAACAGATCTTCATTTATTCATTTTCAGGTTGCTAATACAAATATTGATAGGCTTGAATCGAGCTCAAAAGGTATGAAATTAAATTAAAAATAGTAGGTATTCTTTGAGACTTAGAGATAAACTACCTTTGCTACTTAAGGTAATTTAAAAACTAAAAATATATCTGACATCAGTTTCTTAAAATAGCTATATAATTTATAATTTTGATGAAAGCATAATACTAAACATTCTGTAAAGTCAAGTAAAATTCTGAAAGCAAGCAAAATAACCACCCTTTCCTTCTCTGTCATCTCCACAGTGCAGCCCTTAGGGAGCCATACAATTGTTGAAGGTAAAAGATTTAGAGAATGTTCAATATTCAAACTTTTGCTGCATAAAGTGACTTTAAAAGAAATATCATCTCATGATGGATGTAATGAGAATCTCTTAATGAAAATAGCCATAAGTGGTAAGAGATGTGTACTATTCACAAAAGAAAGCAACACATGTACCAAGAGATGACAAGTTGTAAAGTTACTAATTCTACCTAAGGATTTCATAAAGTTAAAATATCTTGAAGGTCTTATACTGTTTCTCTTTTCAGTTGATTAATCTTTATAACCAGGAGGGAGTAGGTGAAAATATGTTAAAAGCCTTCATTAAAAAATTTCAGGCAGGTAAAGCAACCCAGGCCTAATCCAACGCAACCCATTTACTTTTTTTTTTATTGTGAAAATACTTTACAGAAGGGTTACAATTACATGAGCAAGATAATGAGTACATTTCTTATCAAGCATTGTTGCCTCCTCCTTTGTTTCCTTTTACCATTCATTCCCTCTCGCTGCTCCCCCCCATTTACTTTTATCTAAGTCCTGGTCCTAGTTTTAAATTACTGATACAAGATACAAGGCCACAGAATGAAGTATTAACATAAAAATAACTGAACCTGAGTTTAAAAAAAATAAAAACAATAGTTAGACATGCTATCCAGAATTTATTTTGCAAATTAAGAAAACATTTCACTCTAACATGTATACTTACACATTACACTACCATAGAAGTTATACACTAGTATACATTTAACTAGCCTCTTTTCTCTCCACCTGGTAAATGATGACTAGTTCTAACTAGTCATTCCCTGGAGATATAGGAGAAAGGAGGCAGAGGAGACAAAGGGGAGGAGGAAGAGAGGGAGACTGAAGGGGAGAGAACAAAAGAACAGTGGTGCTTTTGAAGGCTAGAAGGATGTTATGAAAGTATCACTGGGAACAGGTTAATTAGAAATTCATTCTCAAGGCTGCCTCTCCAAGCATGTGGCCTTGGACAAGTCCTCTAGATTTCTGAAGGGTAGTTTAATCAACTGTCAAATGAAACCTCACTAGGTTTTTATGAGGGTCAAATTAGATAGGAGAGAGGTTGGGGAGAGAGTACAATGGAAGAGTGCTTGCTTACTTAGCATATACAAATCCCTGGAGATGGATTTCCAGGACACCCCCCCCACACACACACACACCACACACAAACATACACACACTAAACAGTAGAGAACAAGGTGATCTCAAATGCATAGTTGCTATACATATAAAAATAGCCTGAAGCGGCACCATTATTGAATAGGAAGTCCGAAATGGAAATTAAAAACAAAATGACTTGGCATCAGGATCAGGCCTTATGTAACAATATGCTAATTATTTCTTTTTTTTAAAATAATTTTTATTGTAAAGATACTGTACAGAGGGATTACAGTTACATGAGTAAGGTAATTAGTACACTTCCTATCAAGCATTGTTACCCCCCCTCCTTTGTTTTTCCCCAACTATCCCTTCCCTCTCCGACTCCTCCTTCCCCTCCCCCAAATTGTAAAGTTTGTTTTCAACATAGTGTCTTGTCTCATTGTTACAATGGTCAGCCTGTATCCTTGTTTCAGCATTTTGTTATTTCCCTTCACCTCCCCAAATTAGAAAAATGTATATACAAGATGCAGGGGCCCAGAATCAAATAGTGACAACAGGAACATACAAAAACAAAAAACAAAAAAATCACATCAGCACATTAAAAACAACAGCACCAAAGAAAAATCTTCTTGTGTCCCTATCTTGGGGTTTATTTTGCGTTATGCTAATTATTTCTAAACACAGTTACCACTAGCCATTACACTGGATCTATCTCAATTTTAAAAAGCTCCCAAAAAGCTCCTTCAAAAGACACAGTCCATAATTTTCCAACAGCTTTTTCAAAAGCCAGCTTTTGTCAAAATTCTGTGCTATTTGAAAACAGACAATGATATGATTATTGTAAGTTTATATATGAAGGTAGTAATTCAAAACAAAACAAAACATAGAGTTTTTAACAGTGTAACAAATTTTTAACTTCACAAGAATATAATAAAATAAGGAGTCTTAAGAATATAAGATGTTGAGTAAATTCGTTGAAGAATGTATTTGTAGCATGGAAGAAGGAAACATGCTACTTACATTTTCTTAGTAAACTACACTGGAAAGCTCTAAAAGCATAAAAAAATGTTTTCTGAGACACTTGCATCGGTTTCATTCCAGCAATAGTGGTCAGATGAAAGGCGAATTTAACCTGGGACAAAACTATCAGGATCCTTTGTCTTGATTACCTCATCAAAGATCCAATAAAGAATAATGTGCTAAGAGGAAAGGGAAGAGAAGGCTTTCAAGGTCACAGGGTCATACACCAGGGTTACTAAGTCTACCACCCTATTCAAGACTTTAAAAAATACCAATACCAATTAATTTATGCTTATACATTTCCTTGTGAGTATACAGATTACATTAAATCTTCACATTAAATCACAATTTTAAATCCATTGATATGGAGAACTGGACAGGGTATGCTAATATCAGCAATAATTGTATTAATTAGTATAATTATTTTGAATGGGAAAAATGGCATCCTCTTGGTTTAGTCAAATAGCCTTGAATATTCTGTGTTTAATCTGTGCCTTGGTGAGAAAGAGTTAAAAGATCAATTATAGCCTTATTCAGAGAATTATCTGGAGGTTGCATTCATGTCTCCCCATAAGTCATCTACCATTCAAAATGACATGTAAGACATAATTCATGCAATATACTTTCTCTCACACAACCTATGGGATCCCTGAAGTCTTCCAGTATAACTTCTACTGCAACAGTGAAGTAAAACGAAGAAATCTAGCCTAAAACTTGCTTTGAAAGGTTTCCATTACTTGGATAGGTCAAGTTCAATGAGGATGGCAAGATTCCAAAGATATAGATGGGTTAAAAGAAAATGACAGAAAGTCTTATTTTGAGGTGGTATCAGAAATTTCAGAACATAATGACTTGGTTGTTTGGAAACTCACTGCCAGGTTTTATTCTTGTTTATATTGCTATTCTGAGATAGGATCCTTCTATGTGGTTCAGCCTGACCTTGAATGTGTTGGTACAAGTTACCTTCCCACCTCAATAGCCGGAGACACAGGTGTGTGCTACAATCGCCCAAATTACATTTTGTTTTCATTTGTTCAGTCAAAAAAAAATTCTCTGCTAAAACGAATCCTAAACTTGGAATTTAATATTGTAGGTATCTAAGGCACTCCAACACGTCAAGAAATTCAAACCTTCCCAGCTTCCTTTGGTATTTACGAAGGCCAAAAACCAATGTTTGCTTTGAAGGAAATAAAGAGGTAAAGAAAATAATCCATGAAGGGAGAGAGGAAGAAGGGGAGAAAATGATATCAAACTATTCAATGCGTATCCTATGAAACTAGGAAAATTGAGGGGAGGGCTTGGGTTGAGTGGAAAAGAGAAAATGATGAAAGAGGTAATATCAATCAAGATGCACTGTCCTTATAAACTGCCTTGATGAATGAATGGTAAAGTCTTTGTGAAACTACTTAAAGTAATAAAAATATAATTTTAAAAAAACAAAGATTTTTTTTCTTAGTGTACAATATGCAGTTATTTCTTTTTCTTTTGTTCCTCCTCGCCTCCACCTTTTGGCTTACTCCCTGCTGTCAGTGTTTTTTTTTTTTTATTTTGATATTCTTTGTATTGTATATAAGTTGATCTGATCTGGAGATGGGAAGGAGAATCACAGAAATAGTGAGATAAAGGACAAGGGTGAGCCAGTGCAACAGTGATACTCATAAGACACTTGGTTGGAAATGAACTTTACAACTTGGAGGAGAGGGGAGTCTGGGAAGGGAGGGAAAGTGGAAGAAACAAGGGAGGGGGTAACACTGTTCAACAAGAAATGTACTCACTATCTTACATATGTAACTATAACCCTTCTGTATATCACCTTTACAATTAAAAAAAACACAAAAAGGAAAGAAAATGAAAGAAAAATTATGTTTGAATCTGATTGATAACTCCTAAAGATGTCAAAATATAGGTACTTCTTTCCTGAGAAATTTATTTTCAAGAGGTTCCAGGGTGACCTTATATTCCTAATGATGCTAAAGAGTGTATGGTTTTGTGATCCTCCTCTTCTTAGCTCCTAAGTAGTTCATATTGAACCTGGGAGCCAACGGCAATCAGCTATGCTTTTGTTTTAGTTTGCAAAAATATCCCCCATGAACTTTTAAATGATCATATTTGCCATTATTTTTCAAGAATGAGAGTAAATTTTCTCTTTTAAAGTTCCCAGTGGTACTAGTTCACTGGTTGACTGGGAATCATTAGCTATGAAGTTATCTTCCACAAAATCCCACACTGAGGGATTCTAAATGCTTTCCTATGTCC